TGTATCGAGTGGTAGAGGATACGTCACGCGCGTACGGCAACACAAACACTATTTCGAGCCGCGAAGTAAAGACGAGGAGTCGCGCTAGCGGCACACGGGGATTATACAAATAGCGGACGACGACTCTCTTTATAATAATATATATGTGTGTGTGTTGAAGCGTGTGTTAGTGTGCGTTGATGTATACAATATCTACTACTATAGGCACGGGACACGCACACCACACAGGTGCACACACACCGATGTACACTGAAAGACTGAGCAGCGGTAGCAAACTCTAGCAGCCGCGACAGCAGCAGCAGACACACTCACGTGTGTCGAGGCGCGATATATACATATATAATACGATATATGTACGGATGTACGGACAGAGTAGATATAGAGATATGTGTTGGCTGCTTCTCGCGCGAGTTTTAGTATATGTATAGTAGTAGTAGACGACAGCAGCAGTAGCGGCGGCGGCGGCGATGAGCAGAAAAGAGCAGTACTGGTGTGTTCTTCGCTATACAGATATATAATATTTATTCGTAGCACAAGCACACTATAAAGCACTGAAGCACACGAGCAGCAGCAGCCGCCCCCAAAATTAAAAAAGATAAACTGACACTTGGAAGATTGTTGTGTTGCTATTATATAGCTTTATTATGTTATGCTATGCTAGCTCGCTTTCTGGGTGGGTGATGTCTCTATCTATGTGTTCGCGTATGTGTGTTTGCGTCTATTTCTTTTTTCTATACATATATTTATATATCATCTATTTTAATATGTCTATATAATTGCGAGAAAATAAGCGTATACGTCTATCTATATATAATATTGCACGACGACTCTCTCGTGTATGTGTCTCTCTCTCTCTGTCTATATCTTCTTCTCTGCGTGTCTGACGTTATTGCAATATATATATCTTCTGCTGTAATGTATTTCGATCGAAGCTAGGCTGCATAGAGTAAAGTGTGCAACGACGACGACGAACGACAAACGATGCAGAAGAAGGGCACTTGTCAATTAGAATATTATTATATTTTGTTGTTAATTTTTTTTTCTCTTCGTTCCTCTCTACCGTCACGGCACAACAGTTCGTTCCCCCCTCCTCTCCGTCACTCGATCTATCTTTTCTCGTTCGTTGCTATCTCTTGCTCTCTTTAAGCAATGTGCACTTTCGTGTGTGTATATACGACGACGAGGGAGACCTGCGTGTGCTCTCTGCCGTGGTCTCTCTTATTCTCTCTGTGCAGTTTGAGTCTGGGTGTCGTTGCGGGTAGTTTTGACACTAGCTCGCGCGCGGAGCTTTGTCGTTGGTGCATGTAATGCTCCGTCGAGTTGTGTGCGCGGCTCTATGTTCACACATGCACAGCAGGATGCCTTCGACGAAGCAATGCACCGACTCCGATTCAACAGAGATAATAACAATAACGATAATAATTAAATGTACAATAATAATAACAATAACAACAACAAGAACAACAACAACAACAACGGCACACAGAGAGCACACGGGGAACGTCAAAAGCGCGACTCCGGACTATCGTGCGTGTACATAGGTGTTTTTTTTTTCGCCTCTCTCTCTCTCTGTCGCACGGGTTCACACACACGCACACGATCTAGTATACGGTATATAGCTCGCGGGGGCCGAGCCGCGCCGAAACGTGCTTGTCTACTACTAGCGCGCTGTGTGTGCTGCTGCAGCTTTCGAGCTCTCGGCTGCTGCTGCTTCTGCTGCTGCGATGGGGGCTTATAATGTGTGCTGCTGCAAATGCCTTACACAGCTTAAACGCGCGTATGTATGTGTGTGAGTGTGCGCGCGCGTGCGACACCGCGAGCTTGTGTGCGAATCACACGGACGCAGAGCTATATGTGCGCGAATGTGTTCGTGCGGTGCTGCGCGGTGCGACTAGCGATCGTTTGCCCGCGTTCGCGCGCGTGTGTGAGTGAGTATAATACGTGTGCGCAGCACACAGAGAAACACACACATACGAAGGGAGATATAGAGGAGCGACTTCGAGAGAGTAGTAGACCAGGAGAGGTACGGAGGGGGGAGTGACACTCGTGACTGTCATGAGACTACGGACAGGCGCTCGGCTCGCATGCACACACACACACACACATTTGCGCACTCGCGTCATACTCGCGCCGCGAGGTGTAGTTTTGCAATTGAAGAGAGCACGTGCTGCTGCAATTTTACGTTCGCTCGTAGTAGAGGTATATACTCGAGTCTCGCGGCGCGATCGTCATTTTACCCATTTTATTAACGCGAATTCGTCTTCATTTAGAGGATCATCCGCTTGATCAATGTTTCCGTCGTCGTTGTAGACGAGTTCTGGAAGAAAAATAACCGGAGTCATCGCGATTTTTCCGGCTCTATCGTCGAGACACATCTCCTAGCGCCGAATCGTACCTATTATCCGTCTTATCGATCGCGTCCCGTCAATCAAGCTTCATTTTCGTCATGTAGCGAGTCTTGTATAGCAATAACTCTTCTAAATTTTTCAACGAATCGTTATGCCCTCCCTCCTCCTGCTCCTCCTCGCCGTGTGCGCGCATGCAGCAAATTTAGATGCAGCTCACAATGCAACGCGCGAATCGCTCGCGTGTGCAAGCTCCGCTGCTGCTGCTGCTGCTGCGCTAGTTGCAGGAGTTCGCGGAATGGCTTAGTGTACCTCGCTCATAGAGAGACTCGTCAGCGAGACGGTAAATTTACGCGTCTCGCTCGGGTGTGCTTTTTTAACCGCGCGACCCGAAATTGCAACCATGCTGTAAAATGTGTGCGCGGCATATGCGCGCGCGGCTACTCGCGTGAAAATCAATCTGGGGATGCGAGTGTGGGTAAGTGCAAGCATGTGTTTGAGAAAACACCAACAGCTCGGCTTTCGGTGTACGCGAGCTCGGCGAGCGCTGGAAAATTGTACCAGTGCCCCGTGGATCGAACGATTTATATTTAGTTGATTACGGCCCTTTCTGCTACTAGGCTAATTGGCCAACCTCACCGTTCTACCTAACGGTGGGTCTTGCGTGTATATGTAAGTGTGTGTGTTAGTGTATTAGCGTGTACCTATAGTCGATATGGTTGCGCCTCCCATACCACTGAGGTTACGCTTTGATAATGGTGTGACCCCCAACACCAGAGACCGCAGTTGAAGTGCACCGGCTTTTTTCCAAGGAAAATTTCCACGGATTACACCCACCGGTGCATACCCCGCAGAAAAAATCCTCGGGAAAAAACCAGCCCACCGCCGGGATTTGAACCCCCGACTTCTCGGTTGAGAAGCAAGAGCTCAAGCCCCACAGCCACCGCGGCCTCTGGATCGAACGATATCGAATAAAGCTGCTAGCGACATCTTCCTTGCTCGTTTCGAGGCTCGCCTTTAAAGAATTACTGGCTTACCCGCAAGAGCGACGCGAGGAAATAAGTGATGCAAGCCGATAAGTTAGAAAGCAATACCGATTGATAACTCTTAATCATGTTAACAATCATATGCTTTTTTGCTTCATAAAAATCGAGAGCTATACTGGAAAGTTACAAGTAGAAGATACATTGCACCTACTCGAAGAATATTATAATTCTATTGAAAATATTCTCTTTGAATAAAAATTCTACTGAAATGGTCACGCACAGACTTTCGATAATGCAAGGGATTCTGATTACAAGGGAGTATGGTCGAATAAGAAAAATAAACAAATTAGCTTTTTATGTATAGTGTGTCGGGATCCTTTTTGAATTTCGTTGGAGAGAAAAGTGTGGATGCCTGCACGAATGCGACGACTTTTATTGGGATTTTGCGACGCCTATGGTCATTTTTCAGTGCCTCCACTCATAGATGGAGTGTATTAGTGAACGAAGGAAATCTTTATTCATTTAATCTATGCAGCGATCAATTCTCAGCATCAATAGGCGAAAAAAAATATTTACAATATATTCAAATAAAAGATTTAATTATATTTTAATTTCATATATGAAAATGATTAATTTATAAAAAAAATGTAAAGGTTCTATCGATAGTTTTCGTGAATTTTCGTGATAATTTAAAATAATTTATAGTCTATAATCAGGATTATTAAATTATCATAATTTTACATTAAAAACCTTATTCATATCATTTGACATGATCGACAGCGAAAAAAAAATTATTTTATTAAAATTTTTATAAATTTCTTTTCATAATTTTGAATCGCACGCTTCCCGCGGCGGGTACCACTTTTGAGAGCACTGATGGGCAGCGGTGGCTTAACACACCACATGCTTGAAATTTTTAGTGAATAACTTGGACCGCGTGTATTTTACTTTCTAATATAGATTCTAATATAACGTATGTCTATAGCAGTCAGTACTCGTTACGAAGCCGAAGCGCAAGCATCGAGCAAAGATCGCTCCCATCGCGCAGCAAGTGTTTAAAAGCAAAAGATATTTTACATTATTAAAAGTGACCGTGCATTGTGCGCGACATGGCTCATATCAAAGAAATCTACTTGAGAGCATTGAAGAGATTACGAAGTGAGTGCGATTGGAATATCGAAAACCAACGACTCGAACTTCTTCGTGAACTCGTCGATTTATTCGGCGAATGGTACTGCCGACGTCCATATCCAAATCTTCTGGTCTTTCTCATCCCGATGAAATTGATTGGCTCATCTCGAAGGTTATAGAGAACTGGACGAAGCCACACTATGGAGAGAATAAACTACAAAACTTCATCAATTTTATTGTCAGTACCGGTTACGAAGACCCGCTCGTAGAAGACTGGGGGCCACCACGTACGTTGCTTCGCACTACACCGTTGCATCTTGCGCACAGACACAATTGCCTCTTCCTCAAAGATCAATTATTTCAAATTTACAACAAGTGTGACGTGAATTACACCGACGAATCGGGCCTCACCCACTTCCAAATTGCCTGCGAGTGGGGATTCACCGAGGTCGTGTCAAAATTTCTCGGATTACGTCACGATCCCAATTGCTTCGCGCTACACTCGGCGCTGGAAAGCGGCCACGCGTACATTGCCAAAATGCTGCTAAGAAGTGGCGCCGATCCAAACTTAGCCATCGAGGCGGACGGATCGACGCCTCTGCACGTCATCTGCCGGCGCGACTTTCGCGATTCTCAAGACCTGGTGAAGTTGTTCGTCGAGACCAGCGAGGACGAACTGAATCACGAGGTGCAGATAGACGCCCGGGATAAGTCGGGCAGGACACCGTTGCATTTGGCACTGGAGCGCGACCTTCAAGCGGTGGCCGAATCGCTGCTGAGGAACGGCGCCAGCCCGAATGCGGCCGACGCGGAAGGAATGACACCACTGCACATTTATTGCACGAGACGCGTCGACGAGTTTCGCTCGATGGAGGCATTTTTGGCCATCTACGACAAAATGTATGAGGATGTCCAGCTCGACGCGCGAAACAATCTGGGATACACACCGTTGCTCTTGGCTTTCGAGCGCAGGCACCACCAAGCGGCTCTAGTGCTGCTGAGGAGAGGCGCTGATCCGAACATAGCCAACGACGACGAAGTGACGCCGCTGCACTTAATGTGCGAAAAAGTCATCGGCGACGCGAGTTTGCGAATCGAACTCAGCCAACGTTACCCGTTACAGATCGACGCCCGGGACAAGTGGGGCAACACACCCCTGCACCGTGCCATTGAATCCGACAATATTCATCTGGCCGCATTTTTGCTGAAAAGAGGGGCCAGTCCGAATTCGGCCAACGACAAAGGAGTGACTCCCACGCACTTGGCTTGCGGGATCGACCGCGATGTGCTGGAGCTTTTTTTTAAAGTCAACGACGACGTCCAGAATGCGGTGCGGGTCGATGCTCGGGACAATAATGGCTCGACGCCACTTCAGTGGGCCGTGTCGAAGCTCGTGCCCGACGCGATCGATGTAATCTTGAGTCGCGGGGCTGACCTGTCTAGCTTCGTTTTTCCCGCTTTCGATCGTTTCGACGAGTGCCTCGAATCGCTGGACATGCATTATCGGACGAAATTGTCAGTAGCATCTGGCCTTGTAGCCGTCGTCGAACGCCTCGAGGAAAATGGATACGAGCTGGACCGCAGCGACGCCCTGACGATCATGAGATCATTCGCCAAGTACGAATTGTTAAAAAAAGAAGATTACTCGTCGTGCTATAAGGAGGAGCATTTCACCAAAAATATAACGATGAAATCGAATCTGTCGCTCTACGACCTGATTCAATTACCACCCAAACAGGCTGGAAAATTAATCACGCACGCGGACTGCATGAATTTCGCGCACTCCTGCCGATTGGAGGGGATGTCCGACGAATTTAGAGCGAGGTGTTACGCGCAACTGTGCGAGATAATTTCGAGAAAATTTTTCCTGGAGTGGGCTCTGGATCCTTTGGTAGAGCTGTTACACTATCGATTGCCGATTCTTTGCTGCGACATGATTGCGGATAAACTGAAGAACAAAGATTTGATGAATATTTGCTTCGCGGCTGAACTGCTCAGAGCTCGGAGAAATTGAGCTTTAAGCACTTTCAAATGTAACAAATTCGTATATTATTCAAATAAAAATATTTTACAAAAAATTTAATTCATTAATTTGCTTGCATTTATTTTTTTTATTTTTTTTTTGTACTTAATTTTCACATCTTGCAGCTATTCTGTAATGATGATAAAATAAAGGTACACGTGTCGCAATATTGAATTGAAGTATAAGGAAATCTACTTGATTTCATTTAATCGATATTTATAGTTTATTCGCGGGAACGAATTAACCGCGAATAGCGGGGTTTACCTGTATCAGTTTAAATGTAAATTGTTTAAACTTGAAAAGTTTATTTTTTTTATTTTAAACAATAATGTTTTTTATTTATGTAAGCGTAAATAAGTGTTAAAATTATTTTTTAAATTAAAGCGTTGCATAGAGCGATTTGAAAGCTACTACATAAGATAATGTGGACTTCAATACCTGAAGAGAAATTTTTTTTGTTATTTTTTATTCATGACACTTTTGAATATCATAAAGAAATAACCCATATGTAAACCAACACATTTTGTTCGTATACGTGGACATAATTTTATGAGTTATTTTGGCGATTGAAATTTTTTTAATACAAAGAAAATGAATATCTTACCGTACTGCAAGTTTCAAAGTTTAAATCGATGATTGTCCCAGCTCTTATTACAAAAATTTTCTGTGTCCTAAGTATAAGCAATACCATAAAAAGTCTCAATTTTGGTGGATATGCGTACCAATTGATGCTGCAACTACGCGAAAGTTTATTTATTAGTATGGGTTATTTTGCATAAATACGTATTCTAAATTTTTAACTAAATTGTTACCATTCAAGGTACATTGCATAGCTGGCATTGTACAGAACTTGACTTGGAGTACACATTGCTATCATTACTACTATGCCAGTGCAATATACGACTATCATTTTTGCAGCTACTGCTAAATCAGTATTAATTGATATTACTACCTAAATCATTGAGATAAATAAACTCGTTAATACTGAAGGTTTCACTGAAAAAAATCTTAGAGGCGATTCGAACAAAAGTGGACAACTGGATCAGAATAGTATATTTTGTAACAAGTGTGCGAAGCAGTTGACTCATCGAGGAGTTGTTTTCACCCGAGCGTAGTGTTACCGTTCCAATTAATTTACGTGAGCTCTCGTGTCTCGGAAGCCGCGCTACAGTGTCGTGATCGACTGCCATCTGTGAGCGTTGGTGGTCGATACTGATGTATCAATGGAACACGCGAGGTAAGATGGACAATTATGCTCGCTTGGCTACAGAGGCGCGAGAGAGCACAAATCGGAGTTCCGATCGGTTCTTGTTTGGTCGTGTTGCTAGGGAATGTTTTGTTTGTTTGTTCAGGTTTTTGCTCTACAGGTCACTCTCGTTTGTACCGGCTTGGGAAGCACATCTAATAAAATATTTTGAAATAACAGAAAACTTTGTGTCGCCTTATTAATTTTTCTTCTCGACTTCTACACGTAGCGAGGGTGCAAAGACTCCTGGATGAGTCAACTTCCTCGCGGACTAGTTGCAAACGATATTTTTTAACTCTGCTTGCGAGAAACTAGGGTTTTCTGACCTTAAAACGTCAGTCTCGCTACGCTCGGGTGAAAACAACTCCTGGATGAGTCAACTGCTTCGCGCACTTGTTACAAAATATACTATTATAGCACTGCGTGTCTTAAGTTCACATTTAAGGCACGCTTTTCGGTGGTATAAGTCGCACATTCTGGCACCGCGTCGCGCCTATCGCACTCGCTGCGCTCGTGCGCTAACCTCACTTCGCGCTACCAGAAAGTGCGACTCATGGCTCGGAAAAGGGGGCATAAATGTGAACTTTGCACAGTACTATAAAATGTTGTTCGATACTCGGGCCATAGGGGACACTTTTCGGCCCAGCTATTAGGACCCTCGCTGCGCTCGGGCCCTAAACTACGCCGTGCCAAAAAGTGTTACTTATGGCACTTGTATCGAAAATTACTAGTATAGCACTGCGTGGCAACAGTTTACATTTATTGCACGCCTTTCGGTGGCATAAGTAGCACATTCTGGCACCACTACGTTCGTATCACACTCGCATATGCTCGTGCGCTAACCTCACTTCGCATTACCAGAAATTGCGACTTATGGCTCGGAAAAGGGGGTATAAATGTGAACTTAGCACAGTGTTATAAAATGTTACGCGATACTCGTGCCAAAATGTGTTTCTTATGCCACTAGTATCGTAAAGTACTATTTGCTGCCACAGCAAAAAATTTAGCAAAATTTAGCATTAACATAAAGCCCAATATTTACCGAAGTACCGCTTATAACGAGGATAAATGATGTTCCAAGCATCGTTCCAAATATCACTGAATTAGAAATGCTCTGTTGTATTTTGTAAAGCCTGTAAACCAGATGTAATATGTATTTTTTTCATTACAACTGAGGATATCTCAAAGCCAAAGTAAACATTTAATATTTATTAAATATTTATTACATGTCAAATAAAGTATTTGACATCCAAGAGAACGAATAGTTCTTTTTAAAAAAAAGTCCGCTCATGCTTCAAAAGACGGAAAGAAATAAATTTGAAAAACTGGGCATAATAATCTAAGATAAATTTTTCCAAAAATCTAATTAAAGTTCAATTTTCCATTTTTTTACATGACTTTTCAGTAACTTAAAAAATACTTACTCGATACAACTGTAGTGCTTTTTAATAAGTTGTTTCAATCTTTTGACAAGGAAATTATCAGCCTTTTCCTTATTGTCATGAAATTGACAGTACCGACCATCAGTTTCTTTTAAATAGTATCTATTAAACCAAAATAAAATATGTTTAATAAAACCAGTATAAAAACATACTTTAATGAGATTTTCACTCTCACATACTGCAAATAATTCAATTGGCCGATGATGAATCCAATGCTTGAGCATTGAAAACTATTCAGCGATACAACAATGCAACAAAAGTGACTTATAATCAATAGATGTATTGCATAAATAGAATAAAAGTATTTATCAGCAGAATTTATAATATGAAAATTACAAAGAAGTGGCAAAGCCTTCTGTAGTGTTTGGTTTCCTGGTAGTATCCATGAGCTGATGAGTGGAACGAATAATGGGGCTGTTCCGAAACCCATAATGATTGGTATGCATATAACTAAGCCAAAAATGTAATATAGCTTACGTTTAATTTAAATATTTAAGACAAAAAAAATATTAACTTGTTAGGATAGAATTGTAGTAGATCGCTTTCCCAAGCATATTTTCAATCCTTTTTCGTCCAACTGAATTATTGCTTTCATGAATATTTGACATTATATTTAAAGATGTGAAGATCTAAAACATACAAATTACCAGAGAGTAATTACTGTAAAATCTTATTTATAAATCATTAATAATAAAAATAAACCTTTTTGAAATACGTAGATATCAATGCATAAGCATATAATATCATGCTTATGGCTACTATTTGAAATAAACTTTCAGCAGTGCTAGCATCCGTTCCTTTTTCGTTCGTATTTTCGATTAACTTTGCAATCTGAGTAATAAACGAATAAAAAAAAACAAAATTCAAAAAATAATTGGCGTTATGGTAATGACGCCTACCATAGCAAGACATACAGCTGCGTAATATAGCACTATGAATGATTTGCCTATGAAGGCAAAATTTACATTTTGAAACGGGTACAAAAAACAGATTTTCATTACTATTACTTGAAACGAAGCCTTAGAGTTGAGAAATTCATCGTACCATTTGGAATTTGTTTGAAGTTCAACTTGAATAGACATATTCGAAATGAGCAATGAATCTAAAAAAGCCATGTCTAGAACTAAGTTATTTTGCCAGCACAGCGTGTTTCTTCTACAAATGTATTATTCATTCGACGCTATAAGTCGGAGGAATCATTTTAAATAAATAATGTTCCCAACTGTTTTATTTTTTTATTACACTTTTTACACTTCTTTAAGCTACTACTACACTTTTTGATTTTGAAATAAAACGATTTTTTTACATTTTCAAACTGCTTTGAAAACGTGATTTTAATAAACTCTTTATAATTATAGGGGTAACCATCAGTCGTTCGCTTTGTTACTCACCCACTCAAATCGAATAAATTACTTAATTCAAACTTTCAAAATTTTACTCAATAAATGTTTAATTGAATACAACTTTGAATCAAATAACATTTTTAAGCGAGTAACAAACTATAACACTCATGATCATTAGGAATTTATCAAAAGAAAAATACGTTAAAACATATAGGAGGAAAACGCAAAAAAAAATATGGTACTAATACTTTTATCCATATACTGTACGGGATCTTTTGTAAAATATTTATAGCATAGTTATCTGTTATTTACAATTACTAAATACTTATATTAGTCATTTATTAATAAACATTACTGACGATATTTGTTGCAAAGCCCGCCGTCGACGTTCTCGGCCGAAATCAAAAATAAAAATGAAACCTATCGTTGAAGAATTTTTAACTTGATAACCATCACCTTTACGAAAAAAAATTATAGAACAAAAAGGGTTTAGAATTGATCAAAGAACACGCCTGAATTTTTTCAGAATTTTTCGGAATGATTTTTGGATTTTTGGAAAAATGGTGTTATCCAGAAATCCAAAAACCGCTGTATGTTCTTTGATCAATTCTAAACACTTTTTATTCTACAACTTTTTCTTGTAAAGTTGATGGTTATCGAGTTAAAAATTGTCGAAATCATTTTATGACATACAGGTCGTCGGGAGTCAAATTTATGATCGCTATTTTGAATTTCGTAATTATAACTATTTTACAATAAAGTATACGAGCCATTGACCATTGAAATTTTAAAAAATAATCGTAATCGTAATTTTTTGAATTAAAAAAAAAGTTCGATTATGTGTACAAATATTGGACACATTTTACTTTTGTACAGAAATACCCGTGTACAAGTTTCATGTGAACGAATGATACCTTGCCGAAAAGTACATTAAATTTTACGTGAGAAATGATGTCTGTA